CACTCCAGAAACTAGCTCTGTAAGCTCAGAGATGTTCATCTTGAATACAGGTTGTGATTAAAAGTCAAATCATTGTCCATTTAGGACATGTCAAGAAATAATGGACTTATTTGTTTTTAAACCCCAAGGGGATTTGTTAAAAATTATTCTTTGTCTTTAACTAATAAGCTTTAGTAATTAATTCTCACTGACAGAATTATTTGCTACCAACCAGGAAGTCATCTCATCTTCTGGATCAGTGTCTGATGAAAGTGTGCAGTGTCTTTTTTTAACTTATCTTTTTAGCTTGCATGAAATCTGAGTACCTGGGCAGTTCTACCTAGCATTGAAAAGTTATGTTGTAAGAGAAGAAAACAACTTATTTCTCTTTATAATGACTCTGGAAATCCATTTCATCATGATAAGATCCTGCCTGGTAGGTGACACTGGGGGTTGTAGTTCCGTACACATTCCTGATTATCCAGGCAGGAAGATGGCTCAGATATGGGTGGTGGGAAGGGGAATTTGCTGAGCTCGCAGCAAATATATTTAGGTTTCTCTCTTTTTACACTCACTTACTAGTCTGTATGTACTTCCTTTGCCTAGTCTACTCAATGTGCTAAACTAATTACTGGGCTTATGGATTTAGGATTTTTTTTCTCCTTTATTTATGATCTTTATCCCCTTCTTTTTTATCCAGTTTACAACTGGATATTTAAGACTTGTATCGTGGTTGTATCCACAGAAATTATTTAGGTGATGCTATAGCAAAAAAGCCATATTAGAAGCTAGGCTGTAACCCTTTTGTGAAGAGATCTAGAAGCTAGGCTGTAACCCTTTTGTGAACAGATCTACAAGAGTGGCTTTGAGTAAAAATGCGTAAGTAGAGAAGTTTTCATTATCTAATGGTTCAGATGATTTGAGGGCACTTGATTTTTATTTTATAAAGGCTTAGTTGCATTTTATGGCAGGGGATAGTTAGATTCTTGACTGAAATTTAACTCTCTGGCAATAGTCTTTTTGACTATTCCTCAAATAGTGTGTTTGGGTATAGAATGGTGCCCTCTGGTGTTTCAGTAGGGTCTAGCTGGTAAACCGTGACCTTTTCTCCAAGAAAGACTGGAAGATTATGTGTGTTTCACAGCATACATCTGTTTTGAAAGTGAACATTTCTTTACTCTTGTTTTATCATTGTAAGAAGGAATACAAGTGTCTTTTTTTTTAATGATAAAGAGGCGTCTTTATTTGTTTTGGAACCTGAATCTGTTTGTTTTTCTTTTTCCCTTTAATCCAGCTAATAACAGAAGACACAAGTGTCCCTATTTCAATGACATTGAGCCAAGGGCTGAGATATTTTTCTCCTTTTTTTTTTTTTTTTTTCCCATTTATCTTTGTGACTGTTCAGTCCTTGACCTCAGCTGGTTTTTCTTTTTTTTTCTTTTTTTCTTTCCCCTGCCATGGGTGCTCTACTTCCTCCATCAATTGAGAAAGTAAATAGTACTTGACTCTTTTACCAAGTCTGTTGTCTAGCACATTGCTCAAATTAATCATCTCTCATTCCAGATTCAAAACTGAGATGGAATTGCAATATATTGTTTTGTGCCAAAATTAAGCACAAACTTCTTCTGCTTTAGACTGCCGATTTTGCACTTTTTTCGCTCCTCAATTTTGCAAATGTCTAGTGACAACAGGTTTGGTTTTCATGGTTGTGTGGAGTCAGTAGTAGCCCATAGGTCCCTGGGGATACATTGATCATAGGTTGAAAGCAATTGTAATGCAATTGGATCATGTACTTAAATTTTGTTCAGTTTGGTTTGTGTTGTATTTCAGTCACCAGCAGTCAGTTCAGGTGTGCCTAAAGCTGAAGAGGATTCTTGTTTATCTGTCATCAGAAGTGTGCGAGTCTAAGAAAATTTGAAAGAACTGCACACGGCACATGTAACATTTCTCATACTAGGCTTCTTTTCTTTGCTCCTTTTTAAGACATTTTCCACTGAAATATGTGAAGCCATATAAAGTGAGAGAGATATTTTTAGGTTTGAGGTAATTGCATGCAGTAGTCACAGTCTGAAAAAGTGCATCTTGGTGGGTTGCTGCTTTCTCACTTTCCTCCCAGAAGATTTGGGGAGTTTCCTAAATTCTATTCTGTCTTGATTTGTCTGCTTCCCAGTTTAGCTCTGTGAAGCCAGTTTTACCATCCGGATTACTTGTAGTGCTGCATGCCCAAGCAACCATAAGCTGTTGAAATACACAACTTCAGATAAGTTAGTAATTATTTTTCCCAGATATGTCTAGACCATTTTTGAAATGTATGCATAGAAATCAGCGTCAGTATAAGCATGTCTAATAGGTAAATCAGACATTCATTTCCTCATGCGTGTTTACGGTTTTGAGAAAAGCTTAATTTATGTCTAGACAAAGTGCACTTTGCTTTTAAAGTGACCGATATTTTAGGTCAGAGGCTTCTGAAATAACATGTAGTATCATGCCTTAAGAATACAGTGTTCTGAGAAAGTTAGTGAATTTGTTTAATTCATCCTCTTAGATCTCATATATATCGGAGAAGTTTTAATGCAGAGTGTGAATTTCTTCTAAATACTGTGATGACACTTTTTTAAGGCAGTTCTTCAGGAACTCTCTTCAGTGAGGTGGAAAGGGTGGATTTGTTGTTGTTCCCACAAGATGGAGCCCTTTACATACACAATATGGAATTTTTACTGGTTGTGGATTTTAAGACTGTCAAATACCGCTTCAGATCATAGGTCACCATTTTGCTAGTACCCTTCTAGAAAGTGATATAATGCAGGACATGAAATAGTAACTCTAATAAAGAAGGGTAATTTCGTGGGTAAGGCAGCACATAGGAACATATACTGTATTGATTTCCTTCCTATTTTTAATCGTGTACTTTCTGTGTGACTTCAAATTGTCCTAATATCCTTCTAGAGGTTTTATTTATTTATTTATTAGCCTATGCTGTCTGGAGTTATTTGATAATGTTTTAAACACTTAAGAAATACCTCAATGATAAATTATTTTCTCCTTTCAGTATCTTAACAACTTGAGTGTCAGGGTTGATAGGTCTGAAGCACTACGAAGGTATCAGAAAAGCCCTGCAGAGCTGTAGCTCCAAAATCAGCAGAACACATCCAGGTCCAAAAGGCCTGTGCACTGTTACCACCAAAGGCAAAAGCTTGGCAGCATTTACCCAGGCATGATTTTTAGCATGTTTGCTACCTTTGCTATCCTAATCAGAAGAAGGACGTTCCTCAGCTTTTAGGAGCTGGGAATCCCCACCAGAGATATTTTATTGAACACACTTTCCTTGAGAAAATCTGGCAAGCTCTCAGGAGTCGGCTTGCTTCTTTCCCTTTGTAGGGCAGCGTACTTTATTTTTAATTTTTCTAATTTCTGTTGCTTCTCTCATGCTGCCTAAAAGCTAGCAAGGTTAAAGGGAAGGACTCTAGGTGCGAGAGTCTCTTTTTGGCCCTTCTCCTCTTCAAAAGGACAAGTTCTTGTCAGACATAGGCTATGGATTTATCGATCAGGTTATTATGAACCAGATCTTAACAGAGCAAAGTAGGGAAGTGGAAGAGTGCCTGTGTGTGTGTATATATACACACACTTCAACACTGTAGGACTCTGGTTGGTGTAAGTACTGGAAAGTGTTTTGCAGTCCGTATTGTTCTAGAGACTAAGTGTTTGGACATCCCTGCTGTCAGCAGCACGGCCTGGTTTTAATGACTCTTAGCTATCCACAGTCATGTCTGTTAACAGCTACACTTATTCCATACAGAGTATTTTGTTGGAGGACAGAAAATATCTTGTAGAACAAAAATGTCTGATGCCAAGAGGAAGACTATTCTAAGGGATTAAACATTCTGAAGATTATCTTAAAACTGGAAAAAAATGAAGCATCCAGCATTTTTCTCCTTCTCATGCTGCCTTTACCTGTGTTGGGAAACTTCATACCTTTGCTCCCCAGGACAATCCTCAATAATACTTTTCTTGCTGCCTCTGCTAAGGTTCAGAGCTTTAAATTGCCCATCAAATTGTGTTTGTTTTCACACCTGCACCTTTTCCATGCAGCTTCTCTTTTGGACCCAGCTCAGCAAGCTGCACTCCCATTTTCTCATTGACTTGTGTTTGCTACTTGACGTTTATAGATTCATTATTCTAACAATTAGTAAACCAATAAACTCTATCAGCTGGAAAAGTCTTCTGCGTCTCAAAATAATTAAAACAAAAAAAGCCAGACAATACCTGTAACAAATGTACAATCTGTTCACCTTGAAGTACACACCAAACTTTGTAAGTCGTATAAATGAAGCACCTCAAGCTATGTTTCAATTTCTGAGTTCCAAAGAAGACCTGTTTATCTGTGTATTTAGTATTTCTCCAGCACATGTAAACGTAACCCCTTAGGTTTCCAGCCGTTGCTGGCACGGGCTGCCTTAGGCCGCAGCGTGGCCGTGTGGTGCTCTGGTTGGCCCAGGAGCTGCGCTGCGTGCGCGGGAGGCGGCCGGGCGGCGCGGGCTGCCATGCGCTTCGCCCGCTGACTCGAGCGTCGAGTGCGGCCTGCGCTGAGCAGCTCCGACGCTGGGAATACCAGAAAAGCACATTTGTGTGTTTGCGCTTCTTTATGTTTACCACAGGGCGGAATTTGATGGAAAAGTGATCCATGCTATTTGAGGTAGCTGGAAAAATGGATTCTTTTGTACCCCATTTGAGCATTAGGGCAGAAAAAGCCAAGCAGTGAGGCTCAGGTCAACCATGATGTAACGGGCTAAGCACCTGGATTAATGCCATAAGGGCTGGGTTCAGTGCTCAGTTTTGGGCTATCTCTTTCTTTTAATGCTGACCTTAGAGGAGTTGATCACAAATGAGCCGCTATGGCAGTGAGCTTGCCTGTTTTTGTTTATTTTTTTCCTTAAGGGAGACTTCAATAAAGATTCTTGCACACTATATTTAACTGGGGGGAAAAAAAAAAAAGCTATGCTTTTCTTGTTTGTATTTCACAGATCTGTATATGATGACCAACCAAATGCCCACCAGAGGTTTATGGAAAAACTAGATGCCTGCATACGTAACCATGACAGGGAGATAGAAAAGATGTGCAATTTTCACCATCAGGGCTTTGTGGATGCTATTACGGAACTTCTTAAGGTTAGGGCTAATGCAGAAAAGCTAAAGGTAAGGAAATGTTTTTTTTCAGAGTTTCATATATCATTGTCTTTCAGTTCAGGAGGAGTAACTTGTTCTTATTTTCTTTACCGAAAAATATATTTTTTTGCAATTATCATGTACACTGTAATGTTTACAACAAATTTTTAATTCACATTGTTTAGGCTTTATGTTTAGGGCTTTGTTGTCTGATCCTGTAGTACATCTGCAAAATTGAATATTTACTAGGTCTAGTTATGATTGTTTTAATAAAAGATTTCAGAAAATGTTGCCAAAATTATTTTGCCCTTTTTAAAGCCTTTCTCAGAAGGAAACATATTGGCGGACCCAGTAGTGTGTGTGTGTGTGTGTATGTATATATAGAGCTCAGACCTTAGAAAATATCAAGTCTTGATTAAAAAAAAAAAGGCATCTTGAAAAATAAGTTTTACTGTCCTACAATGCGAGTAGGACAGTAGGTGGAGTTGGTAGTTTTCTTTAGAAATGAGATCTAAGATTTACACACAAATCAAATCGTAAATGGTGAATTATGAGATCTGTCCCTTTTAGCTCTCTTTACACTTTTGAGAGCAAAATATGCACACCAGACAGAATGAGCATAGTTCATCAGAGGTTATGATTAGAAGAGCATTATATAAAGGATATTCAGATAACAAGAGACCAAATACAGCGTCAATGAGGTCATTGAGCATCTTTGTTCAGAAATTAATGAGATTTTTAATAAACTAGAATGTGCTTCCTTATTATGATGACCTAATGAGTCACTTACTATGTGGGAAAATCTGAGGTCGAGCTTCGCCTGCACCTGCAGCATTAAAATGTTGCTGTGGTTTGGAGATTTCCACGTTTGATGTTAATCAACCACCCAGTGTTTGCATTCAGCAAAGTATGAATGTTTAATTACCATAAAATGCAATCACCATTTCTTAGAGACAATGAATGGCCCATAGAGCTCATTGAGGTTATCAAAAAGGGACCAGTGGTCAATTGGGTCAATGATTTGAATTGTTTGACAGACCTACAGAAACAAGGAAAGTTCAAAAATCCCAAGTAAATTTGAGAAGTTTGCCACAGAATCTGTTAGAAAGAACTGTCATAAGTAATTGAAGTTAACAAAAGCCCTTTGCGATCAAAAGTTCAAGTTCAAGCTGTAGAGTTAATTTGAATTTGCATTTCTTTGTTCTAAGTTTCTCATGAAGCATGATCTGATTACAAGGGTGAGCAGTCACATCAGGGCAATATATGCATATTTGTCTAACAAAGGTGAAATTTATTTTTAAGGTCCAAGTTACTGATACCAACCGAAGGCTTCAGGATTCGGGAAAAGAGGTGAGAAAATGGTGCTTCCTATATGGGTGTTATGAACATTTATAGCAAATTAAATTTGTTTGCATAATTCAATTGTGATTTTCTACTAAAAAAATCTCTAAGGTGATAGCCCAAACAGAGGAGATTATCCGATGCAGAGTCCAGCAGCGGAATATTACAACAGTCGTTGAAAAACTACAGCTGTGCCTTCCAGGTGAGTGACATAGAACTAAATTTGATGGTAACTTTTTTTTTTTTTGGTAATAAGACACAGTAGTCAAAATTCAAAGGATTTTTTTTTGAGTTAAGGATCTGTCCTATACCATTCAGTTTAACAAAGGAATTACTGTTCAAAAAGATGTTACTACAGATTCCCTCACTTTACGGCATTTGAAATAGGATAATTATGCTAGCTTGTAATAAAACAATGAGATAGATATAAATGATGCAAAAAATGTAGCTATAGACACCTTTAAATGCCATTCTATTTTTAATTACTAAATCATTGCTTAAGAATTATTTCCTTGTTTAAATTGTAAGGAAAATATTATCGATACTCTTCAACATTTTATGGTCTTTTAGCTTTGTGACATTGCAATAATACTTTCATAAAAAATAAGAGCTCTAAATGTTTCAGAAAGATAATATTGTAGGATTACACACAGTTCTATAAGGATTTTATCCTGTTTGTGGTGTTGGCATAAAGAAGGTTTGAATCTTTTTCTTTGTAAGAGTCTTGTGTTGACTTGTGGTTACAGTAGATGGTACTGTTGCCTTTTAATGGAGGCAGGTAACTTGTATGAAGTTACGGTAAGTATTAAGTGGATGAATATGCTCAATGTATGTTGTGTCTTTTTTCTTTTCCTTAACTGCATTTTAGAATCTTTCTTTTTTTTTTTTTTTGCCTGTTTTGTTTAGTTTTTGTTATACTATGAAAGATAAGATAAATTTAGTGTATCTTTTTCTGGGGCCTATTTTGTGTCTATTTTGTTTTAATTAACTAAAGCCACTATATGATCCATGAATTAATCTATTTGTTTTTATGCAGTGCTGGAAATGTACAGTAAACTAAAAGAACAGATGAATGTAAAAAGGTGAGTGAATTATATCTATAAGAAAATAGAATTTTGGAGGAAAACCAAAAAAAATGGGAATACAGGAATATTACTATAGGAATATTATAATTCCTAATAGGATAGCAAATATTAATGCAAACAACTAAATACTGAGTTCAGTACTTACAGCTTTTTTGACAGTTCTTAGTCTTCATTTCAACACTATCATTACAAATATCCAGATGTTATAGTAAATAAAAAAAAAAGGAGCCTAGTGAATATCATGAAAAATAATTTTTACTTAAATAAGCAATGAAAATATGGTTATAAACTGTGAAATATAATATGTTATTTTTAGTACTTAAAAGTAGTTTAAGAAGTAAGAAGAGTAAGATCTTTAGGGAGTTGAACTGAAATAGAAAATGATGATCTTTGTAGACATTATTAACACTTGCATAATCTACAGGTATTAATACCTGTATTAATCATAACATATTTAAAGATCATTTATAAATCAGTGAAAAAGGACCTTTTTCTGTATGTGTCTTGAAAGACCTTCTGTGTATTTCTAATCTCTTATGTACATGTGACTGAGTATAAAATGCAAAGAATATTTTCTTTTTTTTTCTCATGTGTGATAAATTGATCTGTAAAAGATAGTAAATCTGTAATTAAAAAAAAAATCTCTGCAATAATGGTTTCTAACTGTTATCTGACCACCTGCACCTTTTTGCTTTTCATCCCATGAGAGATGCACTTGCTGCTGCAGTAGCACCAGTTTTCTCTGCAGTGTCTTGGCTGCCTTCCCCTCTCCGTAGCTGCCACCTCATCCCACCACTGCTCACCCTGCTGCCTTGCACCTTGGGCATCCCATCCCAGCACTGCTGCTGCCGTTGCTGCTTTCACCTTCTTGCTTTCTGCAGGACCACTGCTGCCTTCACCCCTGGCTGCTCTTGTTGGTGCCTCTGTCTCTTCCCCTGCTGGGTCATTGTCATCACCTTTCCCTGGGCCTGGTGCAGCTGCTGGCAGCCACACCAGCTGGTCTGTCCTGGTGCCATAATACTTTCTGGGAAGTCTGCTGCAGAAATACAGGAGCTTTAGGAAAACTGTAATAGCCATGGCCCCATGCTGTGTCCTATTACAAGCGGACCCTGCTAGATGGTAAAGAGTGCTGTAGATCTTGTTGGCTTGACTAGTGTATGCTGCTTCCTGTAAACTGGGCACTGGTTTGACACCCGCTTAAGGTAGTTGTAATTAAGTAATTTGTGGCAGTGCTCTCAGAGCAGCTCAGCAGAGTGAATGAAATGGTTGGATATCCCTTCTACTACAGACGAGAGAGCAACTTTCTAACAATGCTAAAACTAGGATGGTGGTACTTTTAGCTGCCAGAGCAATGGACAGTTGTATTTCCTAATGTCATCGGAGTAGATCACTGAGGTGAGATAAAGTGGCAGATAGCTTTTAGCATTTTGACTCCGCATTCATTAATAGTTTTGTAGTTCAAGTCCACTGATTGCTGGTGGGCTTTCTGAGATCTGTGCTTTTCAAATCTAAAATTCTGCTTCCATTATTTTAAGAGTTTAAGATCTGATAATACTCCTGTGGAAGGAGTCCCCACACAGGAAACGTTAAATGTTGCAAAGTCAAATGGAAGTATACTGAATTGAGGAGTTTGGACATGTCATCGTCATCCCGTAACAAGATATAAGAGAGAGGGGAGCTGCCATAGCTTTGATGTACCTTGAAAGCACGTGGAGCACACAATGTTCAGACTCAGCTCCAGGCTACTGCTCTAGCTCAAATATCTCTTTCATCAACTATGCTTTTTGCCTGTGACTTATTATTCTCTTTGTCAGAGCCCAGGGGTGGGTATCCTGTGGATAACTGTAGAACTTGCAATTAATTCAAATGGTAATTTCCTTGTGGCTTAACAGGCAACAAATCCGGAGTGACTGTTTCCTGGCATTTATCATTAAGTGACTCAGAAATGGCAAGGACTTATAGAACATCAGTGCTGGCAGATGATTCATACAGATATAAGACATTTCAAAACTGACCTTCTCAACTTTTGCTATGACTCTTTCTTAAAAGAATCAGAGATAGGAGCTTTCACAAATCTTTATTGACAAAATGATGAGGAGTGTTTATTTTTGGCCAAGATAACTTTTCTCATAAATCTTTGCTGAGCACTGTTATTGCAGCAAAGCTTACATTGGTGTTAAGAAAGCAATCTCTATTTTGAGTGTGTATGTTTTTATAGTATCATTTCGTTATTGCTAGATTTGTCATAGAATTTTGCAAAATTCTAAAACTAGAAATTCTAATGTTTAAATTAGGGGAGAACGAAGTGTGAATGTTTTACATTTTTGAACAGTTGTTTTAGGATAAATATTGGTGTCTTATTTCCTTTTCTCTATAGCAGTTATCTTTTAAGATAATGCAATCTTCCGGATCTGGGATACAGACTGTTTTATACAGACGGAATGAAGGTTTACTGAGGAGTCCAAAAAGCCATCTGCTGATAGCAACTTTTGGTCACTACCAACATGGATTTTGTTTGAACTGTTGACCTAGAGGTGAAAGGCTCTGCATCCTATTTATCTATCTTCTGAGCCATGTATAACACAAGTTGACAAGAACTATAGTGGTGAGGGGAAATAATTGAGGAATCTGCTCTAAACAGAAAGTTGGCTGGAAAGCGTTACGAGGGTTTTTAAAGTCTTAGCTGAGGAAGCACAAGGGAGAGGATGTGGTTTCTCTGCTTTTTTCCAAAACACCTAGAGGAGGGTTATAAATTTAGCCTGAACTTCCCTGATACTTAGCTGTAAGTCAGAGGTAAGGACATGCCACACTTTATACAGACCTATTGCCCTGGCTTGCTTCTGGGTATTGATATGTGTCTCTAGAGAAAGCTCCTGGCTGCCTCAGAAGATGGTGGGTGAACAGTCTCGCAGGAATTGTTATAACTAGCATATTTGCAACCCTTGTTCCACAAAAGATATTACCAAAATACCCAAACCTACAGTGAAAATACCATTAAATAATTCTAGTAAGGGTGTTGCTGAATCTTCTTCAATCTGTTATGAGGAGGTGGAAAAAAGGGTATGGTCTTGCAGACTGAGCATTTTGCCACTGAAAGACTTGGGTTCTTTTCCCAACCTTGCTAGGACCTTTCTTCAGAACAGTGTCAAAGATGCAGCTGATTACTTGTTTACGTTGCTGAATCATGCTGAGGATCAGATTGCTCCTATGGTGAAAGGGTGACATGCTTCAAATTGCAATTTCAATATGTCATTTGCGAGAGGTGAAGAATGGCTCCTCCTCTGTGTAACTGAAAAATTCTAGTGGGGTCTTTTAAATTTTTCTTGGTTCGGTAGAGTATAAAAATGTATTGAATAAATACAGGAAATATGATAAAAAGGAATGTAAAGCATTTATATCAGAAGGAAGCACAGTAGTCAGAGTTTTTTTTTTCAAAGTTGCTTTGCAAATTGTTGGTGTCCTTAATCGAATGAAAAT